CCCCCCCCCCCCGGTTGCTGCCCGTTAGGGGAAGTCGCGCCCCCCCTCCCTCGGCTGAACCCACAGGGCGGTAAAGGGGCGATTCCCACGCTCCGGCGGCGCCCAGAACACGCCTCCCATTCATTCCTTCCTCACCCACCTGCATAGAAACGTATGAGGCAGCCCGTCTCCGAGTCCATGCCCTCCTCCTGCACCCGCCACAGGTCCCGGAAGCCCAGCTGGGAGAGGTAGTCGTTTTGGATCTGCAAGGGCTTCTCGTGCGACTCCAGCCGCCGGGCGGTCTCCCCGTGGAGCTGGACGTACAAGGCCGGGGGCTGGGGCGGGGAGGCGGCTTCCCCGGCCGGAGAGGGATCTCCCCCAAACGCCGCCTTCCCCCCGTCGGGGGACTCCCTCGAAGCCTTCTCCGCCCGAGGCTGGGCGGCATGTCCTGAAGGGAGGGCGCCTGGTCGACTACACTGGCTTCTGGCGGGGCCCGATCCGGCCCCTTCCTCCTCCTCCTCCTCCTCCTCCTCTTCTTCTTCCCCCGCCGCTGCCGGCGGAGCCGGGTCCGCTTCCAATTCCTCGGAGGACGACGAGGAGGAGCCGCCGCCCCCACTGTAGGGATCCAGCCGGTCCGAAGCGCTCTCGGCGCTGGGGCTGAAACTCTCGGTGTCGGAGCCCCCCAGGAGGGACGGGCAGGAGAGCGGCGGGCCGGACAAGTAGAGCTCGGTGGGGGNTCTCCCCTCCCCGCCCTTGAGAGCCAGGCGCCCCGGCCGGGGAGCCGCCTCCCCATCGCCCGCCAAGCCGTTGGGGGTCCCTCGCCGGCTTCGGGGCCTTCTCCCAGCTGGGATCGGGGTCAGGCTGCCTGCGGTGGAGGCCGGGCCGTCCGTGGAGTCGGGCAGGGCCTCCTCGGGGTCTCCGGGTCCAGCCGCTGGATCGGGCGCTCCCCGCCCTTGAGAGCCAGGCGCCCCGGCCGGGGAGCCGCCTCCCCATCGCCCGCCAAGCCGTTGGGGGTCCCTCGCCGGCTTCGGGGCCTTCTCCCAGCTGGGATCGGGGTCAGGCTGCCTGCGGTGGAGGCCGGGCCGTCCGTGGAGTCGGGCAGGGCCTCCTCGGGGTCTCCGGGTCCAGCCGCTGGATCGGGCGCCAAATCATTTCCCACCTCCTCCTCTCCTCCTCCCCGGAGGAGCGGAGTCTGTGCGCTGCCTGTCGCCGCCGCTTTGCCCAAGACCCGGACGGCGCTGCTCCCCCCGCCCCGGTGTCCGAGCTGCAAGAGGCGAGCCGCCACCTCGGCCGCGGTGGTCTCCAGGGTGCAAAGCACCGGGAGCAAGTAGTAACCGCTGCCGCCGCCGCCCCCCCGCTGCTGATGGTGGTGGTGGTGATGATGATAGTAGTAGTAGACATGGACGCATCCCCGCTGTAGGTCCCGCCGCACCCAGTCCCGCTCCGGCGGTTGGAGCGGCTGGAGTTGCCGAGGCGGCTTGGGCAGCAAAAGGAGGGTCTTCCGATCAAGGCTCCGGGTCCCCAAGGCGGCAGCGGTGGCCACCGGAGCAGCCGAAGAGGAGGACGAGGAGGAAGACGGCGTCGGGGGCGAGGAGGAGGCGGTGGCGGCGGCCGAAAGGTT